CTTGGACTTTTTTTTTCTATTAAACGCGCTTGTTTGAATGACGCATAAAGAGAAAATTCGTTAAGCTGGATTTATTGGCCCGATTTTTGCTTGCGCATGTGCGTGGTTATACCGAGTAATTAACGGTTCAGCTCAGTTAATTATGCTGCTTTGCTCGCCTTTCACGCGACTGCTTTGTAAAGCCAGCTTTGAAACAAAAAAAAAAAAAAACGAAAAGAAAAAATGAGCTCACTCGCTGAAAAACGCGAGTCTGTTTGCTAACAATTTTCACAGCTAACGTACGAAGCGTGTCATTCCGATAACCTCTCGTCGCGCAGTTCGTCACCCGAGCTAATCGAGCTTTGGATTTTTGTTCGACGCGAAGCGAACGAGAGTCGCGCGTACCTACTCCATTGTTTATCAGACTTAAACGTTTCCTGGCGCTAACGCGCCGCGCCGCCTTTCATCCAGGAGCTCGAGCCGAGCACTTCTCGTTCGGCCTCTCTATCGAAAATAATTAGGCGCGCGCAGTGAATTAGGTAGCTGCTGCCGAGAGAGCTTATTTTGGTCGATCGCTCGGTGCGCTTCGCGCGTCTTTCAACAATCATGCTAATTTCGGCTCCGCCGACCGCTCACCGCAAGGCAGTGACGTTCATCCGTGAAAAATCACGGATTCCGTGTCTGCGCGTCGACCGATGTACGTCGTCGTATCAGTGAGGATGCTTTGAGGAAAAAGCCGCTTCAACGAGACGCGACGCGCCGACGGATATCTATATACCTATATCTGCATCTTAGCGAGAGCGTGATATATCGAGAGAGGCACGAGTTCAGGCGGCAATCGACATTTGCATTGGGTTCTCAAGCGAAACCCAAAAGTGGATGAAACTCGGGCACACACGCGTTACGAATGATCGGAGTGTGCGGGTAAGTGCGCTAGTTACTGTCCTATACGATTTACCAGTATTGGCATGTCTATATCCAAGTCTTGCTCAGAACGGACTCGTGAATTTGACTACGCGCGGCGCCGCGCAAACGCGTACTTTCCCGATCGGCTTTGTCGCGGACCGTAAAAGACGTAACGGCGACGCGCCCAATCGAAACGGATAAACTGATCTGCGGCGCGGCGGAACGAATTGGAGCGATTCTCAGCGTCCCTCGAGTTCCGCGATCGCGTTGCGCGCGGCGTGCCGATCCGTCGTCGTCGTCGTCGTCGTCCGAGCGATCGATTGGGATTGGCACCCGTGGCTGTTGTCTTCTCGCCGCTGCATCCATCGCTCGCGATCGACGCGCAAGCCATCGATCGTCGGACGATGGGTTTCCTCGCTGCCGGTGAGCTCGCCCTTTGTGTTGCGCAGTCGAGTCCCGTTGCCCGCTGCCTGCCATTTGTTTTCGCTTCGGGCGCCCGACCGAAGCTCCATTACCGCGAGTCTGCTCATTAATTGTCACTGACTAGCTCTTGTCAATGATCAAATGATTTCTCTTTCTCTCGGTGCTGCTTATGCCTCGAGTAAATCTAGGAGTTAGAGGGAAAAGAGTGATTCGGCCGTCGATGCTATTCTGGGGTTCGACTGGTAATTTTGAAATTCCCAAGCAAAATGATGCATACAAAGTGCGAAGAGCAACGGCAATCACAGAAGTTTTGCGGCTACCTACTTTGTAGTCGGACCAAGTTGCACGAAGAAAGTTGGCTTTTCCATCTCGATTGTCTCTTTACGGATGAGCACGAAATCAATTGGTCCGCTCAGCTGTGCTCGTTCCCCCGTCCACCGCGCGTGCAATTCAGCGCGCGTCACCGCGCAAGAGGAACACAAGGAAGACGCCGTTCGGCTCGAGGCGTGAGTCAGAGATTTTAGAAAGGAAGAGGATGGGACGCGCTTTCCTCGGGCGGTTTATAATACGCAGCCGCCGCCGTCGCGAGTTATCCGATCGAAAGCGCCGGTTGCGCAAAGTGCGCGCACTTCGTGCTCTTTGTTCTCCAAGCTTATTAAGGCTAAACATTGCGACATCCTCTCCTACATGCTATCTGCTACGAAGACGACGACGACGACGACTTTTGTTCCGGCCCTCGTTTTAATGGACGTTCTTTTCCGTCCCTTTGCGCGCGCGCGCAGATGGCCGTGGCTCGGATGATTGCTCCGTTCGTCTGCTTCGTGCATTGTTTCCATTTTTCGAACGGTAATCAAAGGAGTCTGGAAGAATTTTTCACTTTAACGTATTTTTTTATTTTTTATTTTGTTCTGGTGGCTAGGTTGAAACGACAATCCTCTTTCGAACAAGAAAATGATAAAATTTACGTCGTGTAGTTTATTCTAATTGCTAGTTGTAAACTTGTAATTATATTCTTTCTGGGAGAACTTGTAATTAAAATGTCGGTTGTAACATTGTTGTTTTACAACTACATATTTCGAAGCGAGACATTTTCATTGAAAAAGCTTTTTAGTTAGTTTCTTAACTATATTCGAACGGCAAATTTTCACAATGTATCAATTATCAATTGTCAACATGAAGTTGGCACTACGAAACTGATAAGATTATTGGAATTATTCGAAGGCTGTCCGAATATGAAATAGCCATTGAATTGAAATCATTTATTCCTTTGATAAATCGCATTTTTAACGAAACCAATTTATCATCGACCGCCGTGAAATTTAAAATTTAATAACTAGAGCAGCGTCAGCTTTTCTCTCGATAAATGATTCAATTCCACGCTGCCGCGACAAGTCGCCGAGGGACGAGAGATAATTGTATAATCAAACCGCGAATCGAGCGAGAATTGTCGGGAGGAAGCTGCAAAAGAAATGTAGGCAGGCGCGGCCAGAACGAGAAAGGCGATCAACCCAGAAAAGCAACGGTCGGAGCTTAACCGCTAAGCTAAATGAAATGGGCGCGCGCCGCGCTGGTTGCGCGGGGTCTTTTATCCATTTTTCTCTCTTGCCTCGCTCTCTTAACTTCCTCTCTGCGGCGCAAGCCTTGTTCCTCTCCGCTTACCCTCGAGCCACGCGAGCATGACCATGCGCTGGCCCAACAACTGGCCCGATCTGTTCTCAGATTAAAACTTCCTTCTTTCGACGCGCCCACCTTTTTTTTTATCAAGGACAATGCTGTTTTTCATTGTTGCGTTTGCGCCCGACGTGATTTAAATGTATTATATGGTACTGTTATTCTTGATATCGTAGTTGGACAAGTGTGTCGCGCTTCGCGCACTTTACTTGATTAATGCTCTTTACCGGACTGTGCGAGTTTTCATGAAACGTTTTGCAGCGATAATTATCACCAAGGCTTCGCGTGGATGCTTTTATCCCGATTGATCCTGATCGCGCTGCTCTCATTTTCTTTTTAATTAAAAAATCACTTTGCCTCCTAGAACAACAACATATCTTTAACGTATTTCTCGCATAAATATTGAACATTTCGTGGCCTTATCTGCTATATTGATCCTCAGACATAGTCGAGTCGAGTACTTAACATTTTCACGTGACTAAATTGGAGCGCATCAGTAAAACTGGTAGATTGGAACTCGTCGAATTACCCGTATGAAACAACATTCCCGATACATACTCGCGACTTCATATAATACCCGCAACATTTATAATTCAAGTTGCATAATAGAGTTTGCGGGCAAATTCTCTCTCTCTCTCTCTCTCTCTCTCTCTCTCTCTCTCTCTCTCTCTCTCTCTCTCTCTCTCGTTCTCTCTCTCTTCTTATGTATATCAGATGCAGGATTAGAATGTATGATTTGATATAGTTAGAGAGTAGTCCAGTAGATTCATATTAACATTTGGCAGCTTCTCGAAATCAACGTAGGTAGCCACGTCAAGAGAAAATTGATCGTTGGCCGCTCCGAGGAAAAAGAAAAAGGAAAATACGAAAACACCTTGCTAGCCTGTTATTATCGCACACCCATCTATTAATTGATTGATCCGTTACATCAGACTTATCCTACTGAAGTCATACGTCACGTCGTTATTACGCATCCTTCGTGTTTCTCTGTTACGCGGTGTAGTAATTATTTTCAAAACTGTTCGCCATCATAAATTTAGTTATATCCGAATTTAATGAATCGTAAAGCGAGCACCTCGATGATTTATCATGCCTCAAACGCTCTCGAGATTAGCCTTCCATCCATTATTACTGCATCAGAGAGATTTCGCAATAATTAGATCTTTCCTCCTCGTCATCATAGTGAGTCGTTACTTTGCTCTCTCTCTCTTTCTCTTGACAATTAATAAACGTCGCATCACACTAATGAATACGTGTATTTTTTACCATGACGATCTTTAACGTAGAAATTTCAAACTACCTATCCGCTACTGCTTCTTATCAATTTTCTGGTGACTAATGTTCATAACAATGTCTTACTAATGGTGTGACTACGCTGTTGATGTAAAGCGTATCCAACTATATTAGATTTTTAATTGGAGTCGCTTATCAATGTATAATTACTGACTTTTTTTATCGTTGTTTGATGATTCATCACGTCGGTGTAAAACTTTTATTTGGAATAATTGACTAAACAGTCTTCATTTGAATATGATGTTAGGTAGGTTTTCAGAAACGCAACCTTGAGCGTTTCAAACCATTTCTTACTATCAAAAACATTGTACTGTTACGTAATAAAATAATGGTGTTCGATTACCGGAACTAAAAAGTCTCGAAGAAAGTTGAGGTTGATCTTGGCCTTCGTACGGATGAACCACGAAGCCCTAGGCAGTGAGATATTACTCATCGTACAATCCGCTTCCACGTACGCAAGAAACTCAGGCTGCGGTGTCACCTTTGAGATTACAAAACGACTTCGTTGACTGGAATTATCGCCGGAGACTTGATAGTATCGCTGAGTCAGTTAATTTTTGATACTCGCGGAAACCGAGCGTCGTTCTTACCTGAATCTAAGTTGACGATTCAAGGTTCGCAGGCGACACCTAGTTGTTGTCGTGCTCAAATGATCGTAAAAACATAATTCACGTTTTATCAACGTCGACACGCACTTCAGTAATAGCAATTTTACGGTTTCGTTGCAGATACACATTCCAATGACATTGCGATGACGCTACACTGGTGGATGCATTGGTTCTGGGTTACGGCGCAAATTGTCGGTAAGTTTCGTTATGGTCGACTCGACTCGCACCGAACATTGAAATACAATTAGCAATACGGTACAGCTTGAAAGTCTGCTGGCCCTTGCATCTTTTTCACGCGTGCGTGGTAGTTTACCTGGTTTACCTTGAATTACTGCTGTCTCATTTTAAGTCACGGACTTTTCGGCAACAATCGGTAAAAAAATTTGGGTTTACGCCAAAATATTTAAACCAAACGCCGATAAAAAGCAATTTCAATAAGATTAGAATAACGATTACTCCTCGTTTGAAGCGTATCCTTGACAGTGTAGCCTTCACTTTTTTATAGTGAATTTATTGTCGGGAGAGACAATGACGATTTCTTTTTATGGTTGTGGGAACCTTCGATTTCGAATTTGCACGCTGATTGCGAGATTACTTTTACGATACGCGTTTTGTTAGCGCGGAAAAGTCAAATTAGAAAACAAAAAGAACGATAATAATACGAAATGGATATGGATCGAGTAAACGCTACGACAAAGTACATTCGAGAAGTGTTTATGAATAAAGCAATGTCGATATGTGACGATTGTATACAACTGAACGTCTGCGCATAGTTGAGCGTTTTTTATATGCATAATTTAACAAAAAGTTTCAAGTGAAAAAAGTCGCCGTGAAAAATCGGCAAAACAATCTCGGTGGCTGAATAATAACAATGCCCGAAGCTTTTATTCGTTACGTTCGTTTGCTATCAACATTTTAATTAGCTTGATGAATAAATGCATGTATGCTTTTCATGTTTATTGATTTTCAGTGATTCCATTAAATACAATTATCTCTTGCAATGAGTAATAACATTATGTATTCCGAACTTCATACGAATTACCAATAATAATGGCAATCTTGAATTAATCAAATAAAACTCGTTTGACAATAAAAAGTTGATTGAAAAATGTAAATATAAAGCGAATTTTTAACGATTAAACTAGTCATAATTTTTTATTATAAACTGTTAATCATTTCTTTGTAAAGGCATGCAACTGAAGCATTCGAAATATAGGATGAAACAAAGAAGTTACCTAAAAATCGATTTGTTGTGAAACATATCACGGGTTGTAGTCAATTTTGGAAATGGCATTGAACGAGTTAAGAAAAACAGTATAAGCATCTTTGCTGATCAATAATTAATGCGTGAATTTTAGTATCCCTGACTAGTCCATCGGAGAGAAGTCCACCGGAGCAGACATCGATGCTCAAAGTGTCGAGTGTTTCGCCAACGACGAGCAGTTTATCAGAAGCAAGCCTTCTGCGATACTCTCAGCAGGAGCTGCTGGCGAAGATCCAACAAAACTACAGGGTTGCCAAGGCCATCGGATTACAGATGCCGATCAACTCCGCCGAGGTTTCATCAGAGAGACCTGCTGCTGTCAATTTTCACTCTGGCCCGTCGACCTCCAATCTGGAGAGAACCAGGTGCGAAGCCACGTTTTTCTTTTTCTTTCTTGTTCAGCTTCGAAACGATTTCGTTGCTCCCCTCCGCTCGCCGACGCTTTTTTACCTCACTCGTTATTCCGATCAGTTGATAGCTTCAGCTAATCGTTGATAAGACAGGCACAATTATCAAACTCGCACCGACGAAAGCGCGGATATAATTAATGAGATGGTTTGATGCGCGAAATCAAACGATGACTATTTATCGAGAGAAACCATTTGATCGAAATTTGTGCGCAATTTCAAGTTGTGAAGTACGAGCAGCAAAAATTGACTAGCATCTGAGTGGCAAACTCGCCAAGTTTCTTGATTGCCCAAAGTTCTCGCGCAAGTTTCATTGTAGAAAGGAGAAGCAAGTATAGGGAGTGATTGCTTTTCGCAAAGATAAGTTTTCAATAAAGTTCTAATTTAGTTTCATTAATCAAATTATAACCTTGCGTCCTCGTGAAACATTGATTAGTTTCTTTGCCAGTTTTAACGATCGTGGCGATCAACTTTTCTCTCGCGGGCATTGGGTTTGTATTTTCTCAAGAAAACCACACTAACAGATGTCACAAGCTTCTTGTCATAAAAAATTTCACGATTTGCAATTGCTACATCATTGTAATAACTGTAAATGTAATTCCGTATTGCAAAATCATCAAATGAAATAATGTTTTCATACAGAACCACGTCAATTCCGCTCGTAAACAAAACCACCTCGAGCGAAGCAGACGCAAGTGGAGCTCCCGTGAAGATGCCCAGCAAGAAAGAAAGTAAAAGCTCGTGGGCGAACGGTTACAGTAAATCGCCAAAGCCAACGTACGACGAGACGACATCAACGTCGACAGTCTCTTCAAGCGGCGGCGAGGAAATGACCGTGATGCCATTACAGGAGCACACACCCGGTGGCAGCAAATCCCTCGATCCGAATGCCATCGACAAGCAGGAGCATCTACTTCTGGCTGGCAATCACTCGGGCAACCAACGTCAGCTGTTGCTCCAGGCTGAGAAGACAATCGAGCCACAGGCTGTCGCCACTGCCGCATCTATTCTTGATGGTAACAAAAAGAACTGCGATACCGTTACGCTTTTTTCCCCGATTCGGTCGTTAGAGATGTCTAATAATGGAGGACGTTCATTGCCCCAAAGAAAATATCGTAAAATCGTGTTTGCCGATCCGAAAAGTAAGGCATTCGCATCTCGCTAAACGGAAAGTACAAATCGCGAGATGGAAGTAATGACTTCGAGCCAAACGCGAATATTGTTCCGCTATGAAAATGACTAGACCAATTTTTCGGTCATTTATCTTTTCATCAAAACTTTCGAAATAATGTAAAAACAGAAAGGGACGGGATGGAACATTTCAACAATTTCGAATGATGACAATGCACCTAAATAAAAGAGTCGCATTAAAAAGACAGCGAATTCAACTTAATCGTGTAAATTATTAACAGCTGGTCTGATAGACTCGACGAGGTTAGGCCGTGCGAGAGGCGCCTTCAGCAGTGAGTTTCAGCGGGATCAACTATCACGCGAGGAGCAGCGCGACGAGAGCAAGGGCCAACCAATAAGGGAGAGCGCGGATAGCGGCGCTAACGTCACGGAAATCGCCACTATCACCGGAAGTTGTCTGGCTGTCGTGGTGCTACTCAGCACCGTCGGCAGCCTCAGTTTTATCATGTACAGGTGATTAGGCACATTTATACTAATTGGACGAACCACACCCTTATCGTTACAAGATATCTTACAAAGTTTTCCATTGCAGGCGGAGGTACTTGAATCCACCGCAGACACTGAACAGCGACAAGTGTAGTAATCCAGATAGCTCTGGTTACATCGACGACTCCACCATTCGCGTATGAGATTTGCCTAATCACGCGCGTCAAACATTTTTTATTGAACAATCAATTAAAAATAGATCATATTTTTGCAGGACAACTCCGAAGAAATGTACAGTCTGGACAATGACTCATTCCTGAATTCACTGGAAGCGATGACAATCCAGAACTATTGGACCGACAGCGTCAAGCATACGAAACTATGACGCACAGCACCAGTATCGCGTAAAACGAGAAAATATAAACAGTTTTGAAGCATATCCTCGCTTGAAGAATTACTTTTGGCGCATATAATATATGAGCCCTTCTACATATATTTTTCGTCAAAAAAGTCAACGATCCTGGTGATCATTTTTTTTTTAATTTTTCTCGAACGATCTCGTTATAGCAAAAGACCAAGAAGTTTCAGTGATCAAATATCCCAAGTGTAGCTCCAAGTCGTTAATGGTATAGATATATGTACATATACACATTTCCGAGTTCTACGTAGATATGACTCTTTGGAAGAGGATTTTGTGTGATGTGAAAAGACTGCGGATATATAAAGTATTAAGATGTTGAGAAGAGTGCAATAATTCAATGTACTTGATCATTCTAATTTAAATTTAAGGTTGCGATGCGAAATCTTCAAAGCGATTAGTACAAATTAAGACAGGCATGGGTGTGATTGTTTTCCTATCTTTAACTTTTTAATCCACTTTTTGTGATGCATGCGTTTTAGTAGTCGTAAGAGTTAGTTGAGTATTTTTTATTAAGATTTACAGTTATTGTGTAAATTTTTAGCGCTTTTTAGAGAATTTGTTAATAAGAAAAGCTTTAACATTTTTCAAAATCATTATACACTCGTTTATCGCTGTATTTGGTATTTGATTTTAACAAGATGTTATATCGTGTTAATAATTTACATTAGTTACATACTTTAAGTTAAGGTATAAAACAGCAATACAAGGAGAAAAAGGAAAACACGTTCATATCTGAAATGACACTTTTTGTCAATCGTGTAGGTAGACTGCATACAACTTCTAGGTGTGGAAAAAATTGACCTAGTTTTGAATACAAATATAGTATTTAGATATTGCACATACTGCTTGGTGATAAATTTTTTCAATCACCTTCTTTTGAAATTTCGTCGAGCGACGCCATATCAAGACTAGTAATTTTTTTCTTCATCTAATTGTTTTTAACTGTTATACCAGTATTTATTAGCATCACGTTGATTTGTTGTCGAAAGACTGTTTAAATGCAAGCACTTCCATGAACGAATTTTGCATTTTCTATAGTGTGAAAATAGTAACGCTTCAATATTGAAACATAAGACTAGTTTATAAGTTGATTAAATGAAAATGGAATAATATTCGAAATCAATCGTGCCAAGCTGTTTTAGCTTCGACGTGCATGAAAAAAACGATATGCTGACCGTCCCTACACTATAATAACAACAAATATAGACTATCATCGTTGGCACTATGGCACCAGCCGTACTAAAAAAGTATCGAGAAATATCGAGACTTTTATACGATACTTTACGATACATTTTTCTGCCAATATGTCTATAGTCGATACTTTTTAGACTTTTCCCGCTTTTTTTTCCCGCCACTCTGTTTTCCCGTATTTCTCTGGAGCTTTTCTTCTGCTTCTCTCTCTCTCTCTCTCTCTGTCGTTTACGACGAAATGTCGTTTAATGTACATGCAACGTTATCTTATTTTCCGCTGTAAATCGATTATTATTAAAAAAAACTTATTGTCTAATTAGATACTAAGAATGAACTAATAAACTAACGAAAATCCATTTGAAAATCTTAGAATACTTTGAACTATTAAATATTTTTGCAACATGTTAAACTACTACACAGGACACCACTATTAGAATTATTTTAGCTATACCATATTTTTTCAAATAAAAAATTATATCATAGCGAACGGCAGTAAATATTCAAAGAGAATGTGTTATTTTTTCACGCTTCATGTTGGAAAAACTAGCTTTTTCTAATTATTCACACGCATATTAAGTAAAATATAATGATATTCTAGACAAATTATGTAAATAGTAAAATGTTATGGCTAAATTCATTTTAAAGAATTTTAAGTTAAAATCATGTTACTGATTATAAAACCAGCATTTGTTTAAAGATATCCTTTAAAGTATGTGTTTTAATATTTGCATTGGATTTAATTGAAAGAACTTTATTCCGTATGTATTATGCATCTTTCCATGGCTTCGCCGCTACGTTACTATGGTGTGACAAATTAAATGTCACTTATGTGATCGGTTAGCATGTTGGTTTTTTCCGAAGTATCCGAAGAAATAAAATTATGAATACTATTATAGGAATATTATAACATTTTTCGTGGAAATATTCCTATAATACTATACATGATTGTTAAGATATTAAAATATCTAAATTTGTAAAACAAAAACATTTTTACTTTCTTGACGTGATTTTTTTCATAAAACATTGTCAATAATCATTTGTTTCTGTTGAAAACTTCGTTTGTACTAAATTAGTTTGCTCTATATATTTTGCCATTAAAAACTATACGTTTGCTGTATTTCAAACAATTAATTTGCTTTGGACACTTTAAGCGAAAGAACTAGATTGACATACACACGGAAAAGCAAGCGTAGTTCAAATCTCGTCTCACACCCGTCGTATAGAAAAATCAATTTAAACATGTGCGGGAAAATGATTTCCCTTGTGCGGTCTCTTCAGCCTCGCTTTTCTCGGACCAAAATGTCCACATGAGTTCAAATCATTTTCTCGCACAAGTATTGAAACGTATTATTTACAGATGAACTTTTGAAAATCTATTAATGCAACTGATAAATAAAATTATTTATAATTATGTTAAGATTAACCCATTAAAGCCCACGCTAAGACTGGTTGAGATAGCGACAAACAAACTGTGCTATCTTTTGCATAAGTGAAAAATAAAATATACGTATTTTTTTTTATGTTATTTTCAATTGTTTATAACAAATTATTTAAACAAATTACAAAAAAATTCATAATTATCAAAATCTAAATGCGGGAATCGATTCTGGAGGTGAAATCAAGACGAAAACCTATATAACACTTTTTTGTCAGAATTCAATTTGTTAGTGTAACGTAGGAATAAACAATTGCATGTTGGGGAGAAAAAGTGACCATGTCAAGTCCCAAGCAAAATCTATCTGGAATAGCAAAAAATAAACTGTGCTATCCTTTGCATAAGTGAAAAATAAAATATATATATTTTTTCTTATGTCATTTGCAATTGTTTATAACAAACTATTTAAACAAATTATAAAAAAATTTATAATTTTCAAAATCTGAATGCGGAAATCGATTCTGGGGGTAAAGTTTAGACGAAAACCTATATAACACTTTTCTGTCAGAGGCCAATTAGTTATTGTAATGAAGGAAGAAACATTCGGCCTCCTGAGAGTGTTTCAAAAAATCGTATAAAATGAAGCTAATTATTGTATTTATCCATCAATATTGGCATGAATTATTGTAAATATAATCGGTGGGATTGAATTATTGTTCATTGCCATGTCCTTCTTTATGACTTTTGCAAACAAGCATAGAACATTTCTCACAATACCATTCCGTTCTTGTCCGACATGTTGAAATTCCACATTTCCTAAGACTCCCATGTTTCATCACGTGTTCTTGGGATGAAGTTTCACTCTGTTTCTGTCGTTTGGGGGGACGTTTGGAAGATAACTTGTCAATATAATATTCACAAACTTCTTGAACAATATCTTTGGAACCTTTTCTTTCGTCTGGATGTAACTTATTGTAAATCACTGTAGCGTTTGCTAAGGATGCTTGGATGAGCCGTAATACAAGGCACCATGTCCATTTCTTACTTCGAATTGTAGGCATCAAAGCATTACAGTGTTGATCATGTAGATCGACGCCACCCATGTGTTCATTATACATAGAGAAACAATGAGGAAAAAGAATAGATTTTTTCGATGATTCCTGCCATCTCTGCATTTCAACTTTTGGTTCATTTCCATATTTCGAAGAGAGAATCGATACTGGCTTTGAGTCCATAACTGTAATATAATTCAATTTTGAATTCACTTCATGCATTGAAATAGTGTATCCTCTTTTAGCTTTTTTTGGCATTTCGACTTTCACTTTCACACGATTATGCCGAACAGTTCCTGTCGCCGATAAACCATTTTTTTTCAAATGAATCATAAGATCTGGGTTTGTGAAAAAGTTGTCAAAATAAATATGATACTTTTTCAGTTCTTCTCTCTGTGTTTTTTCTAATAAATTCGAAAGTAACTTTATCACCACTCTAGACCCTAAACCAACGGCAACTAAAGGATTTCGTTCATCGATTCCTGATTTACCAGTGTAAATATCAAGATCATATATATACCCATCAGAAGAACAGACTGCCCATTCTTTTATTCCAAATCTAATGGGTTTATTCCTTATACATTGCTTGATACCAAACCTACCAAAGTATTTTACCATTATCTCATCTATTGATAAATTATAGTCAAAGAAACCAAATTGCATACAATTCTCACGAAACATATCATACAGAGTTCTAACCTTCCAGACTTTATCATTTTGATCAGTTTCTTGAAGTTTATAGAATCGTATGTTCTTTTTTATGGCAACGAAATTATTTCTAGACATAAGTTCCGCAATTACTGGACACTGAAGTATTCGCTTTTTTGACCAGTAATCACGAATACTTTTTCTAGAATTGAAGATAGTAATCATTATGATTGTAATAAATTTTTCTAGATCATCCATACATAAATCAAAATGATTTTCAGAAGTGGCTTCAATGATATGGTTTTTCATTGATTTCGAAAAGAAAACCTCAAACAACTCAAAAGCATTTTTGGATTGCAATGATGAAATAGGTGAAATATTGAAGTTGCTCTCGACATGCGGAGAAATATCATTCAAAGCATCATTTTTCCAACTGTACTTATGATTCGGTTCCAACAATTTCTGAGTACTTGTGTATGTACTTTTAACATGTTCGTAAGAACCTGATGGTAATTCATTTGATAATGTATCTTCATTTGGATCACCGTCCGAATCTCCATCTGAACTTTCATATTCATTAGGAATGAATGCTATATCAATATGTTGACCTTCATCACTATCAGAATCTTCAACTAAATTTGGTAGATCGCTAATTCTCCGTCTCGGCATTATCAGTAACGTTACCAATTTAGAACAAAATAAAAACTAAAAGTTTTCCGAAATTATTATTTCAAAGAATAGATCCAATGTATAAATGTTTTCAACCGTTAGCCCGCCACTCAAACGTGATCTCTAACACGGAAGGATTTACGAAATGAAATAAACTTATCCAATTACAGTATAAGATCTCAAAATTTATCAGTAAAAAATACTGATATGATTCCAGATACCATGTGTGAGAATGAAAACACTTATTTGTCAATAGTTTATTTCTACATAAAGATATCAAATTGAACTCTGACAAAAAAGTGTTATATAGGTTTTCATCTCAATTTTATCCCCCGAATCGATTTCCGCATTCAGATTTTGAAAATTATGAATTTTTTTGTAATTTGTTTAAATAATTTGTTATAAACAATTGCAAATGACATAAGAAAAAATATATATATTTTATTTTTCACTTATGCAAAGGATAGCACAGTTTATTTTTTGCTATTCCAGATAGATTTTGCTTGGGACTTGACATGGTCACTTTTTCTCCCCAACATGCAATTGTTTATTCCTACGTTACACTAACAAATTGAATTCTGACAAAAAAGTGTTATATAGGTTTTCGTCTTGATTTCACCTCCAGAATCGATTCCCGCATTTAGATTTTGATAATTATGAATTTTTTTGTAATTTGTTTAAATAATTTGTTATAAACAATTGAAAATAACATAAAAAAAATACGTATATTTTATTTTTCACTTATGCAAAAGATAGCACAGTTTGTTTGTCGCTATCTCAACCAGTCTTAGCGTGGGCTTTAATGGGTTAAACATTTCGTATATTATTAACGTTGTAACGTCAGATTTTACCTATCACCAATTGTACAAAAGTTTGAATGTCTATTTTTCAATTATTACTCCCATGTTGTCAAACCAATAAGCATAATTTCCTTTAAAAGTGTGTCTTAGATGAATTTATCCGTCATTATATTTATCAAGAAACTCCAAGTAAAAATATACGTGCTTCATTGATCAAACAATCAACTACACTTGTATCGATCAAATCATTGTTTATTCAGGATTGCAAAAAAATCAAAACTAAAATATTTTTAAAATGTCTTTACCAAATCTGAATATACACTGCTTCGTGTATATAAAATATTATGAGACTTATGGAAAAGTTGATCTAAGCTTATTATTGAAATATTAAAGCTGATGTCTCTACAAACTTCATATAATCAATTCATAAAATTAACATCTATACGTGAATAAAAATTTCAACTACATTACTAATAGATCTAAATCTCTTGTCAGAGTTGCTATATTAACTGCAACATTTTAAAATCGTGATTACAATACTAACAAATATCAATTCGTCTTTTAAATTAATTATGTCATATTCCAAATTATTAATTACTACATTCTTATTATTGTGTGTGAATTAAGAGGCTTAGACCAAAGTAAGGGATCTTGATTACCTATAGTGGTTTTTACTTTGTCCTCAGTTTATTTACAAATTGAGAAAGTATCTAAACTCCCCATTCATATTGTAAGTAATTAGTGCCAGAGCAATTTTAATGACAAGATTCAAAGTCTTGAATAATGTAAAGTGAATATTAATTATGTACATTGATTTAATCCCAAGTCAAAACAATAATTAACTTTTCGATCTTGGTGTATAATTCATAATTCTGTAAAATTTACTTTCGTAAATATTGGTTTTACTGCTTAATTTTTCAAATCTTATATAGTTTAATCCATAGTAATCTATGCATCACGCTTTATTATTATTAGTCCGCTACGATGAATAATTGTACATAGTTTTCGTTGGCGAAAACGATTATATTGGACCAAAAGCAAATATTCAACTTATAGTTAGTTACGTATAGAAATAATATACACTTTTCATTGTAACAATAACATATCCCGATTAAAACTAACAAACATCAACGTTTGAGAAAAGTTATTGATTCACATCGTCAGTTATATGTCAGTTCATAAAGCAGTTTAGAATTGATTTTTGTTTGATACGAATGCAATAATATTATTCAAACAGAATGAAAAATGAAAGTAAAATCTTCCGTTACTAAAACAAATTTTTTAGCATTGTAAAACATCATATATCAATTTGTTAACGTGTATTTTAGTATTGATATTTGGTTTGATTATATATAATTGATAACTGCAGTATTTATCACGTATAATATCCATCGTATGTAGTAAAATTATAAGGCATCGAACATTTGCAAAAAAAGCATTTTATGTCTGACCAATTATCAAGCGTCTCAAACTTTTAACTATAAAGTTACATTAACTCTTATGTGTAAATCTCATCATTTTAGAATATTTGATATCGAATTTTCGTTCTTGAGGAATCCATGTACTTACTTAATTCACTGATTATATACAATTTTTTTAAATCCTCCAATTAAATGTTTAATATTTATAGTTTATTACGTAACATTAAATTCTTTTTACTGAATGCATGTTTAACGTTATCGAGTTCTGTTACTTACGAAATATATAAATAATTAAAGGAAAATTGTGTAAGGCGTAATAGTCAAGAATCTCAACTTGAGATTTAAAATCAGCAAATCACAAAAGCACGAGTTTTTACAAAGTACTCTCCGATATAACGATCATTTTTAAGATAAACTTAGATCCGAGTAGAAATTAAATTATATTTCTATAAAAGCTGTAAAAATTAAAGCATAATATACAAAGACTATCTATACAAAAAATGCGTAGCACATTTATTTGATTGAA